CATTCACTTTTATGAACCAGACTTGTAGATCTAAAACACAGCTTAATAAAATACTAGTGTATTCAACAGTAATAATTGGTTTGATATATATTTGTATATCAAATCTTTTCACCTTTTCTCAAGGACATTTATATGTCACCTTGAGAAGACACATTGGACATATTTTTATATTCTTAGATCATAAACTCAGAGAGGCAAGCGTTAAAACATGAAGGAGATTATGGCTGGCAGGAAGTGACTCATCTGCCCATTGACTGCACATTTACTCACAGAGGAAATTCATCTGCAGGTTAGCCCACCAGATTGTCATGGCCATAATGGATTAAATCCTCCCATCACCGGGCTACTGTAGCACTCAGAAAACATTAAAACATATGATTATTTGTGGGGGAAGATGGTTTAAATAGGAAAAGGAAAGAAGTTAGCAATGTTCCCTGCCAAGGCACTGATAAATGGGTTCTGTAGCAATGGCAACGGTGAGGGAGAGAGTAAATCAACAGCAGGTTCTCTTATTACTGTGTGCTTCTCATTTATCTTGAATGCTCTGAATTCTTGCTATGAATCAGAAGCAATACCACAACAGTAGTATTTCAACTGTTCTGGTAAAGAAAGATCTCAGCAGTACCTGCTCTTCCAAACTTATTCTTTGCTTACCCAACACACTTGGGTGACGGGGGCCTCTTTGCAGACAGTTTGAAAGAACAACAGTGCTTTTTTTCTGCTAATATAGAAAAGATGGGGCCTTTCTGCAAGCTGAATAGAATGTCCCTGTGCCTTCTCTTCTTTGCTTCTAACTGGGAAACAAAGCTGCCCAAGTGGCCTTCCATGCATGGTAAACCCAGCGTGACTGGGCTTTGCAGTATATTTCTTTGATTCCTTTTGGCTTTTGCTCTGACTGTATTGGGTTGGTCTGGCAGGATTTTTGTAGTGAGGGAATGGCAAGAGGGATGGCTCCTGTGAGAAGATGCTGGAAGCTTCCCTGTCACCAAGTCAAACCTGCCTCTGGCCAAGGCTGAGCCAGTCAGCAATGGTGCTAGTGCCCCTGTGAGTAATGGGCTGAAGAATGAGGAAAACCTGCAGCAGAGAGAGGAGCGGGGTGTGAGAGAAAAAACTCTGCAGACACCCCAGGTCAGTGAAGAAGGGGGGCAGAGATCCCCTGCAGCCCGTGGTGATTCAGCAGGCTGGCAGGCTATCCTCTTGCAGCCCATGAAGGCTAACAGTGGAGCAGATGCCTGCTGCAGCCTGTGGGAGACAGTGCACCAGCACAGGTAAATACACCCAAGGGAGGCCATGACCCCATGGGAAGCCTGTGCTGGAGCAAGCTCCTGGCACAACCCATGGCCCTGTGGAGAGAGAAACCCACCACTGGAGAAGGCTCACTGGCAGGACTTGTGGCCCTGTGGGGGTCCCACATGGGAGCAGTCTGTTCCTGAAGACACCCCACAGAAGAGACCCACACTGGAGCAGTTCATGAAGAACTGTAGCCTATAGAAAGGACTCGCATTTAGATACATAAAACATGTCAAAGTGGTAGATTGCAACTCAGCCATGCTCTTTCCAGGGCTGCATAGATCTATAGGCAAAACGTCTTCACTGGTTCAGAAATGCCTCCTGGGCATTAGCAGATTCGTCCTGATGTGCTCAAAGAGAAGGATGGAAGCTTGACTTGCAATCTAGTAAAGGCAGGTGCTAAAATGTGGGAGGTTTTATGTTCTCAGATGTCCTCTGCAAGAAGAGCAGTGAACCTCTGTCACTTTGTTTCCTCTACTCCCACAAGACAGGGTATCTTAAGTGAGATGACTCACTACCATTTCTTACTGAAGGGGCCATTTCACAACCAAGAATACGAGAGAGATGAAGGCAGAAGAGCAAAGTTACAATGACACTGCACCATACACATCTCACTGACATGACCTCAGCTTCATCTCTTAAACACTCAGGACACCTGCAGATCAGGCCTTAAAAAAAATGAGAGTTTGCACTCACTAGTGACAACCTTAGTTCAAGTGGGCTGGTTTGTCCACGTTAAGCAGGAGCTCAGACGCCATGATATTTCCTTATCCTTCCTGGTTCCATTGTCTGCTAAGCACCAGGGGCTTTTTCTAGCCATGCTGAAAGGAAGCTGCTGCTACAACTTCCTTCTTGCAGTTGGGGAATTTCAGCAAGGTTGCAGCAGAGCTCACACCTTTAGCTTCCTCCAGGCTCAGGTATCTCAGCACACATACTTTGCGTGGTTGTACTACTTGAAGGGAGTGGAAGGATGTATCCCAAAAGTCTGGCAGTACACTGAACCAGCTGAATCCACCAGGAGCTACGCACATCAGGTAGCCTACCATAAGAGATCGAGTCTCCAGCAAGTTGCCAGTGTGCTTATGGCTCTGCTGACTGTGCTTTAAAAGAACAGTTATATAAATTTCAATTCAAAACATATTAATTTTTTAAAAGGGGATCTAGCAGTATTTTATCAGCCAAACTGCTGAACTGGGCCACAGTACTGGACCAGTACTGTATGACTGGAAAAGCTGTGGGACATACAGCACCTCAGTATTTTAGGCTGAGTTTTACTGGATCAGAGGAAGCACTTTTCAACTATGAACAAAAATAAACTTGGTTTAATTTTCTTCCATTTACTGCAATGACCTATGCCCAGGTTGGAGGGCACCACAGGAACGTGAGTGGCCCGTTCTCACAGCTGTTCTCTCTGGGCACGTCCCCTCTCTCCACGGGATTCAGTGCGTTCCGTCGGGGCGGCTGACAGCCGTCTGCATCACCCGCCCATCCCGCTCTCCCGAAATGCGGCTGCTCTGCCTCACTGTGCCACATTCCTGCCCCTCAGGCAGACCTCACTGGGCAACAGCTTCAAAACAAGCAGAATATGAAAACAGAACCTTCCCAAACACAGCATAAGCTTGGAGAATATAAAGGAAAATTAGAGCTTGTCTTTCACCTCGGTTTTGTGCCAGTATGATTGCACTGATTTCAAGAGAGTTCTAGCTTCCGATGGGCAGAGGGGAGAGTCAACCAGCCTCCCACAGAGGAATATTTAGTAGAAGATCCTGCAGTTCTTGGGAGCAGCTCATCACATAACTTTATGTGCCAAATTACATTAGATGAGGCCCTAGCTACTGATCTACAGGGAAGTGATGAATAAAACAATACTTCTGGCATAGATGGATGAAATTTCTCTTCACTGAATTTTATCATTTTGCATGGTGGAAAAAGCTCATGATGCTTGACTGTGAGGATCCAGTAGCTATGTTCTGGCTTTGCACTGGTCACCCAGTAATATCCATCAAACCTAGCAGGGAGCATTTTTGATTGTAAATGAGACCACCATGTAAAGGCAGCACCGATGGTGATGAAAACCTGTGCCTTCATCTGCCCTGGGAAAATTCAAGTAGGAAGACCGTCATAAATGTTGATAGCTCCAGGATTCTTCACCCTTCTTCATTTTCATGGGGAGTGTGATCGTGAGTGTGGATCACCCTCACCCTGGTGTATACCTCTGTGAGAAGAAACAGGAAAGGGTTGCTCTGTGCTGTGGAAGAGAGGTGGATAAATTCCACTTCTTTTGACTGATGTCATGCTTCCAGACATGAAAACCAGACAGTCAGTCTGGACAGCAACGTTTCTATCATTTTCCCAAACTCTTAGCAATAAGACAACTACTGTAATTACTGTTCTCATGATTTCACTGTATCACACCAAAGTACTTGGGCCTCACACTCCCTCAATTCTCTGAAATTTTGCAGTATTGTAACTCACCCGGTGTCAAGGGAGCTACTTCTGAATTTAAGTAAATCAGGAGAGAATCAGATCTTCTTTGTGGTAGCAAGCCTCTCAAAGGATTTACTGTGCTGTAAGCAACCACTCTATTCTCTGTTTACCTTGCAGGTAATAACAGGAGTATTCTGTGGAGAATACAAACACAGGAGAAACACATCAGGCAAGTCACTGAAAGAAATCTATAGCTTCCCTTCCTCTATAAACCTGCAACACATTAGTAGATTAATTTCCCATTAGGCAAATGAATGACATAGGATGGATGCAGCATGCTACAGAAGATGAACTGTGTTATCAGATGCTGTAAAACTCTAATTACAGTTAAAATACTCAAGTAAACATTATCTGAGTCAGAACCAAGCCACACTAGGGTAGCTCTTCACCATGCTCCTAGGTTTGAAGTGTAGCTTCTATGCCAGGGCTTAATGCCTGTGTTGAAGTTACCCTGGTTACTGAGGACTCCCATTCAGTCACCTGAGATCTGTTCTCTCTGCAGTGGGGAACTGCATGTTTATTAGAGAGTTGGGTTTTGATAAAATGAATGCAGACACAGGCACCGGAATGAGTGTATTTAAAATTGAAATTAAAAAAACAGAAACAAAAAGGTCTTGATTCATGTCTTCAACATCAGCAGTGTGACAAGGAGCACAATAACTGGAGATGCAGCAAAGTTGCCATGATATTGATCATATAGAAATAATTCCCACAGCATGATGATAAATCACAACCCCGCTAACTACACCAAGACAAACAGCATATACAGATGAACTACATATAATGACATAGCTTTAGCATCATCATTTTTCTGAAGTTCCACAGACGTTTGGCAGGAGAACCTGAATCCCGTACGGGTCAAACCATTACATGAAACAAAGGGCAACAGTCAATCAAGCCAGCTCTTCTTCCAGATTCACTATACTCTGGATATATGAACATAACTACACAGGTACTATTCAGGCGACATCAGGCTAATCAAAGCAGTCAGATGATATAAGTAATCTTGGGAAGAGTTTAGAAAACTGAAAGCCACACCAGGCCTGCAGTATATGCAGTCCTTAGCCTGTGTAAAGTACACAGCCCTTAAAGAAAGTATGTTCATTGGTATCAACTGAGTCCAGGGTGATTGTTTTTAAGTGCTTTGTAAACTACAGACAGAATTGATAGAAGGATGGAGATTCAGAAGAACTGCATGTTAAGTAATTTGGAGGATATACATGTTATGTGCTTGGATTTTTCCTAACCTCTTCGTCCCAATCAAAATCTAATGTAGCATCATCTAGCTCTGCTAGCGAGAAGAGAGATTTCTGTGTGACCACACTGACTTTACTAGCATTCCCCAAGGCAAAACTCTTCCTCCTGCCAGGATTGCTCACATGTGCCTTCAGCAATGGGCTATGGCTTTCCTTCTTGGCGTCAATCTTAATGGCAGGTGGGTTTTCCAATTTTGACTCGGGACGTGATGTGAAGGAGAATGATGACAGTTTGGCTAATGTGCTGGAGCGCACCTTCCCTGGGCTTGGGCCACCAAGCTTCTCTCCCTCCTTTTTCTTTTCAGTGAGTGGAGATGACACAGCACCAAAACTGGCATCAGAGCATAACGTTGCACTTCCTCTGATCTCCTTCCCTACAGCCTGACTCTGTTGCTCTTCTCTCCCTTTATTATCAATTGGTTGTTTTTCCAAACTTTTTTTTCCTAAGCAAGTCAATGTCATCTTGCGTTTCTCAGGAGGGCAGCATTCTTCTGGCAGCTGCTCTCCCTGGAGCAGCTCTCCAGGATTAAAAATAGTTTCACTCTGAAAAAAAGATGATTTTTTATTTTTCTTCTCTGAAGAACTATCAAGTTTTGTCCTTGGTCTGAAAGAAAATTTAGCTAGTTTAGCTGCTGGAGGACTTTCATTGTCACAGATTTCTGGCTCATGGGAACTTAATACCTTTGTTTCCTTCACTACCTGACCTTTACTTCGTTTTCTCATTGAAATTGTTGCAGTTTTTGCTGCTATCGATACATTGTTCTTTTCCTCCCCTAGCGCAGAATCTGCATCACTTGAAAGATCTGACAGGCCAGAGGCAGCTAATACTAAAGCCTCAGGGTCCTGCGTACTTGTAAAGAACCCACGTGATCTCTCTGTGTGCAGTTTCTGCCACCTTCTAGAAACCTGTTGTGTAATAACTGAATCCTGCACACTAGCACTTGGCGACACTGGGTCTTGAGTACTTGCTTCTGAAGAAAAACAGTTTTGTTCTTCAGTCCTTTTCCTGCTCATCTTGGAAACTTTGCCCTGATCCAGTGGAGCATGTAGCTTCACAGTTGCTCGTGTCTCTCTCACCCCATTTCCCTTCCCTGGTACTGGAGAACTCCTATCTTCAGAACAGGATGTTTTACACAGGGTTTTTGAAGCCACGTTATTTGGAGATATCTTGGGCACCGGAGATTTTTTCCGTAAAGTTTCTTCAGCATCAGTGTTACTCTCTTCCAGGTTGTCAAACCACACCAGGCTGCCATCATCACCTCTCTTACTATGCTTACTTAAATGTTTTGTATTTTTGTTATTACCACGTGCTGGCTTGCACAAGGCTTCTAGATGCAGATCCCCTTCACAGCTGTCTTCAGGCAAAGGAGGCTGCAGCCTGGAGTTATTCTCTTGCTCATTTGAAGGTTCTGACTGAGACATTTGCTCTGACTGCCCAAATGTATCCTTGTTCAGGCATCTTGTTGTAGTACTGGAATTTGTCTCTTCAGGCTGCAGCTGGCATGAATTTTCCTTTTGTAATCTATGGAATGAAAAAAATTAAGCAACAGTAATTTATTTTTCTTACCTTTTTTTTTCTGTATTGCATTAATGATGCCTAATATGTATGAATGGTGAAAAGCAACAAATAATGTAGGTGACAAAAGTGCATTATTAAGTTTCACACACAGTTCTGAAAGCTGGTGTTGCAGCCTGTAATCTTTCAGCACCATCTACAGTAAGTGGCAGAATTTAAGCATCCCCAGTAGAAGACAGGCAGGTGGACAGAGAAAGCAAACACCTAAACTTGATGTTCTTGGGAAACCAAACAGAAAACCCCAAACAAACAGCTTAGCAATACTTGCAGCCATTGCCAGAGTCCCTTAGGGATTACATATTCTATAAGTGTACCTCCCAGAACAGAAACCTTGTTAGATTTTATCCTGAGCAAGGCAAAGCCTCAAATGAGTTATCAGAATGGAAAATCCAGTTACTACTTGGAACTGGAACAGTGGTTGCTGGTGTTTTTTGTCTCACTATCACTTATAGACTCAGCATGTCAAGAACTTCACATCATAGGGTGAAAGCATCTCAGATCACTTATAGAACTTAATTGCCTGTGGCTATTAATAGTCTTAGGGCCCTCCAAAGCAAGAAAGGTGCTAGGGTGAGGGTTCCATCCAATCCCAGTACAGCTGATATTCTGACTGTTGTACCTAAACATGTGATTTCCAAGGGAGACAGCATTCTACTTTTTGCTAAACAGTGATTCTAACCACGAGTGAAGAGCAGCCACACTCCATCCCAAAAGGAACTGCATTTGTTGAAATGATTCCTATGCACTACAAACAGTTCCTCTGCTATATAAGAGATAAAACATTATATTGACACATTGAATCATTATATTATCATTATTTACTGATATGCTTATTCTTAAAATTTTGATGGGAAGCAGGACGATTTATCTGACTCATCAAGAACGGCAGAAAGATACATGCTTGCTTTACTGAAATACAGTTTAGAGGGAATGCTTGGGACAAGTCTAATGCAGAATAGGTTGTTTTAAAAAGGCCATTAACTTAGTATTCTCTAAGCTGCATAAGAGGGGGAAGAAGAAATCAGCTTAATTTGGAGCACAGGGGATTCAGTGGGATATTGGGAAAACCTTTATGAGCATTAGGATGGAGCAATAATGGAACATACTACCCAATGGCAATGGAAAATCCTCTTCATTAGAAGGCCTTTGGACCAGCTAACACAAGCTCCTGCCAGGAAGGTCGAACACAGACCTGATCCTGTCTTTGTGTATGATCTTCCATCCTGTCTGACATTTCTATGATCCCTTATGAACACCTCCATTTTAAAACTTTTTTTTCTGTCTTTTAAAGATATCGCACTTTCATCCTCTGTGGTTATTTCATATGTCCTTAATATGAGTTACAAAATAAGTCTGAAAAAAATTTAGAGGAAAAAGTGTGTTTTCCCACCTGTTCCCATTAGCTTCAGCAACATTAATCTCTTATTTTTGTTTAACAATAAGAAAGCATGACTTTCTTTAGGGCCTAATCTCTTTTCAGGAAACAAACGTTATGATTTTAATTTTATTTCCTTCCTTAGTGTTTTCCTTTCAGCCTCAGTACATTAAAAATTTTCTATTAATAACAGCAAATAGACTTTCCAAAGATTATTGCAGTGAGGTGAAAACTACAGATGAAGACAGTGAAAATTCCAGCATGTAAAAAAGGAAAATGTGTCCATTTCTGGAAAATCACCCAAAAGAACAGAACTTTGATTCAGGCTGATATTTTCCATTAACAGAAAGGGAAGGATCCTGACAAGTCTGGCACAAAAGAAGGCTTAAAAAATATGGAGTGGATTTATGGTGTTTTATCAAGCAAGTAATAAAAAGGTTAAATAAAATTATTTACTACAGAATCTGGCATTTTGACCCTAAGAATCTCCACAGAAACTTATCTGAGCATGAAACTGAGATATTAATTGGGAAGTGACTAAAATGCTCTTAAATTCTTTGTAAATCCGACAACCCAGAGGGAGAAAAGACCTTGTGATGATCGGAGTGCTACTTTAAAACAATCTCCCTGCTTATCCATGTCCTCTAAAGAACAAGTCCCTTCCCAATGTCAGATTCTGTTTTTAGACCCTCTCCAGACATTATTGTCAAACACTTATTTTTCTCTGTTGAATTATTTTGTTACTCTGCCCGTTACGACCTGTCAAGTCTCTGTAGCTCTTTATGCAGAAGACTTTGCAGCTCCAGCCGCTCCAGCACAAGCTCGCACTGCGTTCGGTATTGCGCCAGCGGATCCTCTGGGAACGAGGTGTGCAGGGCATTGATGCCCCCGAGAAGTGCACCCCCCTGTGCCAACAGAGAGACAAAATAACAACAGGAACCTATTTTTGTTATTCAGCACCAAATTTAAACAGCAAAGATCATTTTATACAGAACTATATTTAAAAGCTTAAGGTAGCAAATACTGAGTATTCACTGTATTCACACAAACAATCCTGTTAGGTCTGCTCACACAGGTGAAGTTGCTCATACTCATAAAGTAATTACATCATCAGGCCTACAGTTTACTTGTACTGGTTTATTTTTATTTATATGAAAAATGGAAAGTCCACCTAAGGCTTGAGAACATCATGCCTAAAAATGGAAATTAGCATTAAAGAAGTTATCCAAATACCTTGGAAAAATTCTGTCCATGTGAGCAACTTTTATAACTGAAGAAGTTCTGACTGCTAAAAAGTTTTCATTAGTTTTGCCTAAATATTTAAATGGAAAGACCTGGGTACTAAGGCTTGTCAACTGACTGGCAAAAATATTTCTGAATAGCTCTTCAAGAGTAGCTAATTATTCAGGAATAATTCCAGAAAGCAAGTGTTCTTAATCTGGGACAATTTTGCTCTGCCTTGTAAAAATGAAGTAGTTTTCATTTGGAACAGAGCATCTGCACAAAGTGGTTTGTTCCACAGCAGGTAATTGAGAAAAGCTCTGTAGTTAATTGCTCTTTGGGGGAAAAAAAAAGAAAGACACTAGAAATGCTCTGTTCGGCCACAGATTAGCTAGCATTTACCACTCCTGCCTAATCTATAAGGCTCAATACAAGTAATGAACAAGATGCATATCAAGTGCCATAAGAACAATAGCAAAAGTCTATGGAAACTCTAGAACCCAAAATTGCTACCTATGGCATCACATGGACCCCACATTTCCATTTGTAGCAATTTCTCCTTCTTCCATTTTGAAATTTTAAGATTTTGTATTAAAAGAATATTTTACATTGATAAAATATCATTCTGGTGGCTAGTTAAAGCCCTCTAAAATGCCACAGTGCTAAAACTAAGGCTGCCCAGGCAACCATTAATGCACCCCAGTGAAGTTATCACTTGAGGTTCTTTTGCCTATCACTTGAGGAACACGGCAGATCTGTTCCACACAGAAGCATTAGTCTGTAGTCATGGAAAAGGTTGTTGCAGAACTTCTCTGATGTATTTGTTTCAAGGACTAGAAGGCTCATAGGTAATGAGGCAGAGAGTGTAGAAAGGAAAGTCCAGTCTCTTGATTAGGACAGAAGAACAAAATTTCTACCCTGAAGCTGGGGCTGTAACCACCTCTCATGTGGTTATATACTCTAGTGGACAGTTTCTTGTGGAATGTGCATAATTCAGCTCCAGATCACTGAAGAGGAGTAGCACCATCCCATCACTTGACAGAGACTGTGTGGAGGTAACTAAAATGATATTTCTGAAATACTCAAATACACTGGAGATGAATTCAGCAGAAAAAGACATGAAGAAATTGAGAATTATACAAATTCTACAAACAAACAAAACATTGAGTAAAGTGCTTGACAAAGTATAATTGGTTTTGGCTTTTGTACTGGCAGCCTGTGACCTAAGGAACCAACAGAACAAAAAAACCAAACAAACCACAATTATGTATCTTTAGATATATGCCCAAGGGGTACAATTATGTCGTGCCCCACTGACTTCTCGGTGCTTTACTTGGCCATCACAATGAACTCCTTCCTTCTGTGTGTGTGTGAAGTTGTAAGTGGTACAGGACTGAATTTAGGGTATCTGTGAAGTTTCATTCCCATGCTGGTGCTTACATCTCTGAGATATCTGCCCTTCTGAGGCTTTGAGATATCATTCTGGGTAGAGGAAGGTACCCATGTGACAAATCCACACACTGTGGAACCTTGGGCAGAGAATCTAGAACAGAGAGAGAAGAAAGTTAAGTATTATAGGGAAAATTAGTGAAAGCAGAAAGGAAGGTGTAAAAGCGACTAAATGTGGAAGACAAAATGTAAGAAAGGAGTAAAAGAAGAGGAATTGGAAAAAGAATAACACAAGGATGAAAACATGACCAAGAGAAGGTGAGAAAGGATGTTAACAGAAAGGAAGTGGGGCAAAGAAAAGATGATGCCAGGGAAGATTGGAATAAGCTCACAAAGATAAAATAGGAAAGAGGAAAATAAGAGTGAATTAAGAGAACAAAACAAACAAAACAGCTCCAGTGAACTAGGCTGATGATGAAAATGTGGTTGTTCTCCTTCCCAAGAGGGTTCACAAGAAATGTCTGAACACTGCCCCGAGAACTGCAAACTTTGATGGCAAGAATATGACTTTCTGTAGATGCTGCAAAGACAGGATCAAAGACAGAGTTTGCTGAGCCACTGGTGGCTTCAAGAATAACACTGGGACATCCCCATTTACAACCTTTTTCTGCAGACTGACAATTACACAGGAAACACAGGCTATATCTATACATAAAGTTGAGGTTTTTTTCTAGAGAAGGAATCAATTCATGAAAATAAGCTTTTGCATGTTATTTATATTTTTAAAATAAACCAGATAAATCACTTTCTTCAAAAAGAAACTGTTCCAATGATTCATTTATACTTTCCAGGAGGAAAGTAAAATTTGGCCTTAAATAGCAGCTGTCAAATTCACAGATTCCTAGCAGAAATGGACACATTTGCCTACTTGCCCAGAAGAAGTGAAGAGAGGAGAAAATATGGTGAGCATGCCAACTACTCCCAGGTAGTCTTCTGCAGTCATAATTCAGGCAAGTTTCTCAGTGTCATGGTTACAGGGGCTGGGACCAGTTTATCTTTATGTGGGTAGAACCAAAAACTGTGTATTCTATACTCTCTATGTCAGTGCTCATGGGCTGTTAAGAAAATCATGGGTAGCAGCTGCCCAGGACAGACCTCACACCTCAGGCTATAACAGATAAGGAAAGAGGTTCAAGGTCAGGGGAGATGTTAACACCTTCCCACCCAGCAGGAGGAGTCCTCCCTGTTAATGGGCCCATCCATGCCTTGCCCCATGACTCATACAGAACTCCCCCCAGGAGCTATTTCTGTTTAATGGACCATCAAGGACCCACTGCATGACTCACAGACTGATATCAACCCATTGTGAGATGCTCCACCCAGGGGGAGGAGCCAAGTGCTCCCACCTGGATATAAACTGGGGTTCAGTACAGCACGGGGGGCCTTACCCACTGGATTTCCAGAGGACAAGAGCTACCAGATCTTTTCTACGAGACCACTGCTTCATCTGGACTGCTACCACCACCCTAACTACAGAGTATCAGGTTGTATTCTGACTCTTGTCTGTGGTTTTTCCTTTGTATTATTGCTTTTATTTTATTTTTTCTTATTAAATTGTATTTCTGACTTGGAGTCTCTCACTGGTTTATTTTCAAACCATTACACTCACTGACTCTTATTAGACAGATGCTTGCTAGGCAAACTGCAGCCCTTGAGGGCAGGGCTGTATAAATATGAAAAAATGATCCACAGTTAAAACAATTCTTTTACATGTATTTGTGCTGAGGTAGAAAGATGCACTGATGGCAACACACATTCACTAGTACTATATCATACGTTGCACTTTTTGATCTGTTTAAAAAAAAAAAAAAACTATTTCAGATTTCTTCTACCCAAAATCATATAGCTTTGAAACCGCTGTCCCATCAAATTCCCATCTAGTTAATTACAGGTTTAATTACAGTTAACGAACACTTATGTGGTATCCTCTGCCATTTCAACTGGACATGTTAGTCTCCCTTCTTATTTTAACTTAGATGCAGTGCTGCCATTGAAAAGCTGAGCTCTTCAAAACCCCACAAGATGAATTGCAGCAGACAGTGAAATAATCTTTTGCTACTTAATAAGGTCAGGCCCTGTAGTATTTTTGAGACAAATTCCATTTGCAACACTGTGCAGTAGATTATCCTTGGCACAAACTGCAATTAGTCTCTCAACCCTCGCTGAAAGAACAAGGGAGATCACAAGTGCCTACCCGCCATATGTGACTTTATGCACCTATTCTCAAGGTCTTTATCTCAAAAAAATGGGCAGATCTATTCCTGCAAAGGTCTTTAAGGTCCATCGAGCTAACAGGTGCTACATAAAATAGTTTTAATCTTAATATATTCATATCAACCTATACAGAAACACAGGAAATGTCATTTTAGATCAGACCAGTTATCTGTGCAGTGGAGTACACCACTTCTGACAGAGCCAAACCCAAACATTTCAGACACACCAAAAACCTCTATGCATTAAACTCTGGATAATCTGCTTATGATAATGTTTTTTTCCTCCATCAAGGCATGAAGATTTATTTCCCTTAAAAATATTCTATCTGAAGTAATAGTGTTTCTATTATTTTCCACATTTCCATTAAAACCCACCTCTATCAGATTCACATTACAGAATCACAAAATGTTAGGGGTTGGAAGGGACCTCCAGAGATCATCGAGTCCAACCCCCCTGCTAGTGCAGGACCATCTAGTCTAGGGCAGGTCACACAGGAATGCATCCAGAGGGGTCTTAAAAGTCTCCAAGGAAGGAGACTCCACAACCTCCCTAGGAAGCCTGTTCCAGTGCTCTGGAACTCTTACAGTAAAGAAGTTCTTCCTCATGGTGAGGTGGAACTTTCTGTGCTCCAGCTTGTGACCATTGCCCCGTGTCCTGTCACAGGGCACAAGTGAAAACAGGTTGCCCCTTCCTTCCTGACACCCAGCCCTCACATATTTATACACATTAATTAGATCCCCCTAAGTCTTCTACACATTAATTAGATCCCCCTAAGTGTTCTCTTCTCCAGACTAAAAAGCCCCAGGTCTCTCAGCTTCTCCTCACAAGGCAGGTGTGTTCCAGCCCCCAATTGTCCTCATAGCCCTCTCTGCTGGACTCTCTCTCGAGTAGATCTCTGTCCCTCTTGAAATGGGGAGCCCAGAACTGGACACAATACTCCAGGTGAGGTCTCACCAGGGCAGAGTAGAGGGGGTGGAAGACCTCTCTTTTTCTGCTGCATACACTTTTCTTAATGCACCCCAAGAGACCATTGGGCCTCCTGGCCACAAGGGCACACTGCTGTCCCATCGACAACTTGTTGTCCACCAGGACTCCAAGGTCCCTCTCCACAGGGCTGCTTTCCAGCAGATCACCTCCTAACCTGTACTGGTGCATTTTATTCCTCCTGCCCAGGTTCAGGACTCTGCACTTATTCTTGTTGAACCTCATTAGGTTCTTCTTGGCCCAGCTCTCCAGTCTGTCCAAATCTCGCCAGATGACTGTACAGCCTTCAGGTGTCTCAGCCAAACCTCCCAGTTCTGTATCATCAGGAAACCTGCTGAGCAGACACTCCATACCATCATCCAGGTCGTTAATGAAGATGTTTAACAGGACTGGACCCAGCACTGATCCCTGGGGGACTCCACTAGTTGCAGGTCTCCAGCTGGACTTGGCACCATTGATCACAGCTCTTTGGGCTCTATTGTGTAGCCAAATCTCAACCCATCTCACTGCCTGTTCCTCTATCTCACATTTTCCGAGCTTGCTCAGGAGGATGCTATGAGGGACACATTCTTTTGATTAATTCTAAATGAGCTGCTTTTTCTTTACATTCAATATGCTAATAATGTTACAGTAAACTAAAATCTAGCCTTCCATATTTTTTCAATGCCTTTTTACGTAGAAACATTACACAAACCCACGTGATAACTGGAATGAATTATTTTCAGTGCAACCAAAGTTTTGGACTTCTAAGGTTTCTCAGAGTAAAATTAACCTCCTAAAAGTTCTGAGTTTTAGTATCACCACCAACATATTTTAAAATGATCTAACAGCAAAATGAAGTGTAGCTTTTGGCAAATGTTTGAAACTTGCTCACAAAAAATGATTTTGTTATCTCATACCTAGTTAATGAGTGACAAGATAACAACAGGGAAGAAAAACCTATTAGAGGCTATTAAACACAGCCATAAAGAAACAAATTCTGGCTTAAAAGGTCTTAAAAATGTAGATTACCAAAAGTCAATAGTGCACTAGAACTTCACTCAGACTGAAAAGTCTATGAAAAAATAAAGGCACCAGACCTTAATCATCAGTCCAGGGTTTTCAATATAATCTTTATTTAAGAATTCTAATCAAGATGGACTAAAAATTACTTGCCAAGGTCTCTGATGGCTGTCTTTGCATGAGTCCATGAAACCCTCTCCGAAGAAACAAAGGGAGCTGGCATATATCTACATGATAAACTGAATCCCTTATATGGGATACTGCAGCAATGGCAAGGTCTGAAAGATATCTTACCTGCATAGAAGATTCCATCACCGATACCACAGTTACAGCATCTTCCAAAGTGACAATATCCCTAAACATCAACCGGGCATGAGCTGTCAAAAATAAATGGGCAGTGAAAGCAAGTGTTATCGAAGTCAAAAAGCAGCTTTTTGTACTAGAAGGGATAGAAATACTTCTTCAGATTTCTTTAGATCTTCGAACACTTGTGCATGGGCTTAGCCTAAACATGAATATATCCCTTCTGATTTTAGAGTCAGT